AAAAGGTCTCTTGGTACAGAGTACTAGAAAATGTCTGGTTTGGAGCCATTGCAGGTAAGTGACATCCCGAGCCAATATGTAAATCGGTTTCTGGTTTAATCATCTGTTCAGAATTCCTCTGCTACTAATACTGTTGGGAATGGTAAGACGGTTCGTCGCAAGAAAAATCATGACCAGTAGGCGAGTTAATCTTGAAGATGGTCCAGAATTTGCGAAGGAGTGGGAGTAGTCCAGTAATTATTGGCGTCAATGAGCAGGTGTTATTCCCATAAAGTAATCACGTTCAGACTGAATTTGAACATCAAATGTCGACTTGCAGCTGTTTCTGCAAATGGGGAAGGAAAGGAGAGGCACGAGCAGATATGGAAATAGAGATTACTACGCTATCAAATTTGGAGAAGAGAGGAGTCCCTATCCTTTTTTTCATTTATTCGGACTTGATGTACATTTTCATGTATTTATGTTAAGTCAACTACATAGTTTTTCCATGATAGGGTTATTAAGTCGTTTTTTTGGGAGGGGGGGTGTACCGTAGTGGCTTTCAGAGATAAACAGTATTCTTTAAGTTCATTATACGGAGAGGAGCCGGTATTCATAACCGTGTATGCAGGGCTTTAATAAAACCGATTCTTACATTTAGAGATCTGAGTACGTTCATAGTGCACGCAATGGCTTGACCATTGTTATGTGCCGATTGCTCCATTATGCTTCGTATTTGTGGATATAATATGAATGTCAAGAAATTTATGGATATCCGTGAAAAGGAAGAATTCGTTGAGTAGACGTCGAAACTGAAATGCAGACATGCAAGAGCGAATAAAATGTGGAAGCTTATTCCATAACTTGCTGTACTGTAACATAAAGGATCGTGACCTAAGTTTAAGGCGGTGCTTTTCTACAGGTACAGTACATTCACGATTGCGTAGACTATATGAAGATATAGGCTTAAAAGTAGGAGCGCAACAGGCGTGAGTAATGCCATGCAAAAGGCGGAAAAATAGGCTAAGGTTAAGCTTAAGGCGTCTTAGCCAAAGTGGGTCAATTTTTAATTTCTTACACCTTCCCTCATAATCAAGTTCTTCGTGACGGCCCAGTACACAGCGGGTAAACTTTCTTTGAACATTCTCAATTAGTATCCTATCCGAAGCATACATATTGCTGAAGATGATTGTGCCATATTCAAGTACTGGGCGGATCATTACCTTGAATAAAAGCAGTCTAGCCTCATTGGTATGTACGTGTTTAAGCAAAAGGCCAACTGAGCGCCGACACCTGGAGGCAAGTGACTGGGCATATTCCGTAAACGTTAAGTTCCGAGAATACCTAATACCTAAATCACATACTGAGTTGTAAGATTGCAGCATAGAATCGCCAAGGTGTAAACTGACGTTTGGATAAGAGTTATTGAAACAGAGAATTCCGCATTTACTAGAGTTAAGTGGAAGTTGCCATGTTTCACTCCAAGCAAACAAATTCGTCAGGTCTTCCTGGATTCTATTAAAACCCTCACTTAGCGATGAGTGGGGAAAGCTATACACGATTTTTAAGTCGTCAGCAAACAGGTAGGGTTTACCATATTTTATCATGTCAGAAATATCATTTATGTAAAGGAGGAAAAGTAAGGGCCCCAACACACTACCTTGAATGACACCACTCAGAATAGGCTGTGGGCAGGAATAGGTTTGACTGAACTTTACTATTTGAGTACGCTGCCTAAGGAATGAGCTTATCCACGATAATAGAGGATCACTAATTCCAAATGATTGAAGCTTAAGAATTAACCGATTATGAGGCACTTTATCAAATGCTTTTTTGAAGTCAAAAAATAGAGCAGTTACGAAAAGACCTTCATCTCGTCTGCAGGTGACCTCCTCAAAATAATCCAGTAAGCAAGTACTACATGAACGACCTTTTAAGAAACCATGCTGCATAGGGGAAAGAAGCTGATGCGCAGCCACGTAGTCATTGATTTCTTGCACAACGACCTTCTCCATGATACGAGAGACTACAGATGTAATATTTATGGGACGATAATTCTGAATTTCTGACGTCGGCCCAGATTTATACGTGGGAGATATGTATGACAGCTTCCAGCGGTCAGGGTAGCATGCCTCAGTAAGGGATATTGAGAATAGCTTCATGAGGATCAACGGTATATCTTCACCACCCCTCTTAAGGAGAACAGACGGGATCCCATCGGGTCCGGCAGAATATGAGTCCTTTAGTGAAGCAACTGCATCACCTATCTTTCTCTGTGTAAAGGAAACATTACTTAGCGAGTGGTGTGGTGGAATGGGCATTTGTATGTTTAGTACACTATCTTCGTGCGTGAAGCAGCTTGCATAATGTTTACTAAACAGCTCACAGATCTTTCTTGGGTCATCATAAAGAATGTCCCCATCGATGATCAGACTACTGGGAATAACTCTAGATAAGTTTGCACGGGATTTTAGAATTCTCACTAATGATTGAGCATTGCCAGTTTGTGCGTTGCAGCTGGTTTCTTGCTTGATTGCTTTCAGTAACTTATTTGATTTGAAGTTCTCATGAGCAATTTTTAATGAGACAAGGGATGAAAAGTCATTAGATCGATAGAAATTTCTGGCATGTCTGCGCATGCTGATACGTACTTTTTCAGGGATGAAATTCACTTTCGGCTTTCTAATTAATACTGATACCTCCGGAGCAATGTGATTGTGAATTGCATTCATGGAACTGTAGAAGATGTCACTTAGTTCATGGGTTGAGCTACTGGTGAAATAAGAACCCCAGTCCAAGCATCGCAACATGTATTGTATCTCTTCCCAGATGGTATTTTTATATCGTCTAACTGTGGTTGTTTTTGACCTGGGAGCCAACGTATTTCTGGGAGATAGTCGGAAGTCACCAAACACTACTCTGTGATCGCTGCCCGGGAATTCTGGACCAACTTGAAGAGTGAAAGGCAATAATCCATTCGTGAAAACTAGGTCAAGTATGCTATTATGTCTAGTTGGTTGCACTACATGTTGGCGCCATCCTCCAGAATCCAACACATTAATAAAATTATCAAACCGCCTAGGAGAGGTAAGTGTCTGCCACTTGATGTCAGGCATATTAAAGTCACCGCATATAAGTTTCATGGAGTAGGGCAGTGTTGTTACGTGGGTGAACACTTCTGCAAGCCTGTCATCATAATCTACGGTAGAACAAGGGGGACGGTAGATACACCCCAAGAGGATAGTTATATCATTAGTAAACTTCACCACAACCCACACTGAGTCACTGAGCGAATTGAGTTCTGAATTAAGACAATTTGTCGCAGCAATGTCGGACCTGATATAGATGATGCAACCACCACCTCTACCATTATATCTATCTCCCCTAAACAGAGTATAATTGTCGACAGAGACATCACTATCAGGAGTGTCTGGAGTGCACCAAGCTTCAGTGATAAATATTAGGCAGGGGTTAGACATAGTCGACAACATAGTGATCTCACTTATTTTGTTGCGTATGGAACGGGCGTTAATCAGACAGAAGGTTAAAGAATTGGATAAGCAGTAGTACCTAAACCTGTTTTCGGAAAGCATTTTCTCGCAGGTTAGTTGGAACTGTAGTGGTGAGGAAAATGGGGTAGAATTTAATTTCGGGGACGTAATAGGGGGGTAAGATACTACGGGGTTACTACTTATATCCTTTATTGTGTTAGGTGTTGACCCACTGTATATGAGCCGGGAGGATGACAGGTTGGCGTAACGTCTTCCCCGCCACTGTAGCGGTTGTGATTTAGGATTGACAGTAGCTGATTCGACAGCGTCATCATCTGAACAGCAAAAGGCGCTAATAGTTTTTGAAGTCCGCGAAAATTTGGGCTTTCAGAATGAGCCCTGGGTATGGGTGTCTGCGGAAATGAGCCAAGTAAGTCTGTGTCTTCACTTCCGCATGGGAAGGGGTAGGGTGCACTATGTTGGGGAGCCAGTATCAGAGGCTGCATCTGAACAGCAGGCCTCCAATTAGGAGGTGATATCGTTGTACTGGGGCGAGCATACATTGGATATGAATGTTGCGTAGATGGGTGTGAGGAGAAAAACCTATCGTTTTTCCTATAGCCCTTGTCTTCATGACTGTGGGAAGCATTTGTGTTCTGAACATTCTCACGCATGTTCCCTTTCATTTTACCACCCTGGTGTATGAATCCTACCTTTCTGTTGGTCAGTGAGGATGCCATAGTACTTGGTGTTATTTCGGTGGACGACACGAATATGTCTGCGTAAGGAAACGGGGTCACTCTTCGAATGGCGTTATAACCATAAGGCTTAACAGTCTGAATATAGTTTTTTCGGGGCTGGCTAAAACGTTTCTGTCCCACTGGCTTTGTCGGTATATTTGAACTAGGACTTTTAGGTGGAACTGAGGATTTGAAAGCCCCTAGTAGATAGTCACAAATGTGGGTTTTGTCGAGATGGATGGGGCTGAGCGAAAACACGTCACTACTCAAGGAGTGCGAGAGCATAGACTCCATATATACTTTCACTTTGTTGATATTTCCTTTCCTTTTTCTTCACGCTACCTCTCCTTTGATTGCCCTTAACATCTTTCCTACTTTCTTTTTACAACCAGCCCAATCAAATGTCTAACGGGACAACATCTAAGGAATCCATCTGCATCTTGGTCATTGGAAAACCACTCAATCCCAGCAAATTCAACCAACACCCAACCACCTATCAGACTAACCAAACGGGTGGGTAGACCTGCTGTGTCAGAATCCATCAAAGACCTGGAAGTGAGCAAGAAGAAATGTGTTGGTTTACACCAGCTCGCAAAATGTTATTGGACAGTGAACTTAAAGTCAGTAAAATTCTGGTTTCTTCTGAGTAATCTTCCATGAAAACTGTAACAGAAGTTTTGAAATTCAGATATCCATAAACACTGTATGCATTAGGTCAGACCATTTGAACTGCCTTCGTAATTCTTGGAGCTCTAAACTACTTTTGTTGTAGCACACTGTATTGAAGGTTGTCCAAGGCGCACAGTTTAATGTATCGTCTTGCTAGTATGAGTTTGTGTGTCCCTGCATACAGGTGTACTTTGATCCTACTGTTACTAAATTCGATATATGGTCATGAGCTGGAATTTATTGATGAACCAAGTGATGCTTATGGGTTGGAGAACCAACAGATTACACTCAGTTGCTCTGCTGTAGGTCCCCCAAATATTACGATAACATGGCACAAACTGGACAACATTTCTTCCTCACCTGGTTCCATAAAAGTGATCGGAAATGCTGTATACTCCTCAATCAGTTTCCAGCTGACTGGCGATAATGAGGGTGAATACTTTTGCAATGCATCTAACACCTTGCACTGGATACAATCTAAGAAAGTGAGTGTAAAGATCGCATTCCTCAACGAAAAGTTCAACTTGGAACCTCAAAGCAAGGTAGCAAATGTCGGGGATACAGTCCTTCTTGAATGTGCTCCACCTTTTGGACTTCCTAGTCCTATTATTGAATGGTTTAAGGATAATTCATCCTTGTTACCCAACAATCGACTACAGATTATGGATGATGGAAGTTTACGGATTGATAGAATAACATGGCAAGATTCTGGTTACTATACGTGTTCTGCCAAGTCTTTTGCTTATCGTCGAGAAAGCGTTAGAGCGCGTCTTACTGTTCGACAACGTCCTTATTTTATTATGTCTCCCAAGAGTCAGTCAGTACCAGTACATAGCGTTTTTGAAATGAGCTGTCGTGCTGCTGGTGAACCTCCACCTGTTGTGGTTTGGCGTAGGGAGCCTTCTTCGCCCGGAATTCCATACTCACGTGTTCGGCTGCTTTTGGGCGGAACACTTCGTTTCGTAAGTGTCCAAACAAATGACTCCGGGTATTATGTTTGCCGTGCAGTTAGTTCAGCTGGCATTGTTGAAGCAGTGGCCTACGTAGATGTTGTTTCACCTCCCGGCTTGATAGTTACACCTCCGAGTAGACTTAGCACGTATGAAGGCAATCGTATTGAGTTATTTTGTAGTGCAGTAGGTTCCCCATCTCCCGATGTTCGTTGGTTGCAATGGTCAACTAAAAAATATTTTTTCCCATCCGCGTCTGAATTGGGGCGTATTCATGTCACAAATTCCGGTAACCTTATTATACTTGCAGCTAGACCAGAAGATACTTCTACTTATGAATGTCGTGCTTCATCTCCTGTTGGTTTAACGCGGACGTTGACCGATATTCAGGTGCAGTTCAATCCAAAGCTCATTCCTGGTCGCATTGGTGCTGTTTCGAATTCTCATATTTTCGGTGGCTTATTTGTCAGTCCGAAAGCAGTAAGGATCGTTTGCGGAGTGCCGTCGGATCCTATTTTTAATTCTGTATATGGATCCAAGTCTCTTGCTAGAGAAAAAGAAATAAGTATGAAATCACACATCATGTGGCTTTATAACGGTGAATCAATTTCAAAATTAAGTTCGTCAAACTCTCGGGTTTCTGTTGAAACCGATGGCTCCTTACTTCTTTATCCTTTCCAACCGGAAGATGTTGGGAACTATACTTGCTCGGTGTACCGGAAAGTAAGTCACAGGTTTGCACAGTACGCATTTATTGTGAGCTTAAACGACTATAATAATTCCGTTTATCATCCTCATACACTAGCAGATTTACCGTCGCCTCCAGTGGATGCAAGAATCATGGGTATCGGTGACACGTGGTTAATCTTAAAGTGGTCAGACAGCAATCCATCAGAATCATCAAGCTATAGAGTATTTGTTTTGCCGCAAATTTATTCATCGTCATCAGCTCATTCAGCACAACATCCTGAGGGCTTAGATCACACCAAGGTTACTGAAGATCGTATAAAGTCAGGCAGGAGTCAGAAGTCTAGTGAGTTGTCTTTTAGACTGGATAAATGGTTGACTGCAGTTGAAAAAACCTACCTTACACAAGTCCGCATCACGGGATTAGTACCTGATACTGGTTACTGGATTGAAGTCAGAAAAGTTAATAATTGGGGGATGAGTTCTGGAGTTTTGGTACCTAATATAGTTTATACTATGAAAAAACCATCTGACGTTAGGTATCCATATGCATCAAAAGTTAATGGGACCCTTTCTGATTTATCTTTGAAACACCCTGGCGCAATGTTTCCTGGTGGTCAGACAGCAGTTGATTTCCAAGAACTTGTGTCGACATTTCAATCTATCGATTTACATCGCATATCCATACGAACCCTTACGTCATCTGAGCTTCTAGTGAGTTGGGCTGCTCGGTCTTCCAATGAAGTTCTTAAACGTATTGACGGGTTCAGGATAAATGTTCGATCTGTTCCGATGTCACGTTGTATAGCTGCTGTTACATCCAAACCACCAAGTTTTCTATCTTCTGCTCATGGAAATAGTGAACAGCATGGGTCCGTAGATATTTATGATAATGAATATAGTGATTTTTCATTCGCCAGCTCAATTCATTGTAGTTTTACATCTTCGAAACTTCTTGAGCAAACTGTTTTGATGGCCAATACTAATTCGCTGCATTTGAATAACAAGGATATGGGGGTGGGAGAACAAGAATCACAAAGCATTATTGTCATGCAAAGTGTATCTCGAGATTACCCTGATGCTAAAGCAGTTGTAGGGGGTTTGTTACCCTTCAGCTGTTACGAAACGGACATTGAAGCCTTCAAAGATGATCCAACTTATGGTCGAATTTTGAGTAGATCAAGTCGTTCCGAGTTAGCTTTGACTCTTGACGCTCCACCTAGCTTTTCACCAGAACTAATAAGTGTTGAATGGCTCTTCCAAATTAACCCTTCGAATGATGAATACTCAAGGAGCCAAGAAGCCAACTATTCTACTTCTCCTCCAGATGGAATCCGTTTGTCATGGAAGCCTCTTGTACTGACAGTGGCACACGGTGCAATTTTGGGATACACAGTGCATATTTTAGCGAACGAAAGTCAATTCAGTCGCTCACTGCATGTAAGTATTGCTTCATATTAATATGATTGGCAGTTTTCAGCCCAAATTTTCAAATTTAGACCATGAATTCACAACATTTTCATTTTCGTTATTATGTCCACGCCATATATTTAAGGGGTAGGCTCGTATTTAAAGGTATATTACTTTCCGTTTTCATAAGATACTGCATTTATATATCATTGCGTGTACTACACTTTAAAACAACTAATCAACTGTAAACATACTAAATAATTGGAATTCTTGTATTAATATTCCTTACACATGTATGCTGTCCCTTAATTTCATATTCAATTATCGCATGATAACTGTTACGCTTTTAATCCTCAAGCAAAATAAATTTTAGTAATAAACAGTTTAGTCGCTGGTATTTATGCCATGTTCCTCACTTTACGCAGTACAATTTTTTATTTTTGCTCTGAATTAGACATTAAAAACCAAGTAGTGGCACACTTGGTGCATTTTCCTACTAATTGAAGTCTACGCCTTTTCAGAGTTGTGAAATTATCCAGAACAGAACCTATTATAAGTGTTAATTGTAGTTACAATGGAGCGTACTTAAACGAAGCCAACTGATGATTCAAAATAGACCTCAGTTGTTCATATAAAAATGAAAAATAAAAGTATATTCACCATTTCAACTTATTTTGAGCCATATCATGCATATCGTGTAACGACAAATTTTTATTATTCTGCAGATTGAATCAAGAGTTATCTATCCTGTCTTTACCTGAAAGCCATATTTTAGGGCTAGGAAGTTGTTTGGCGATCGCAGCACAATATACTCGGTTTGTGATAAGTACCCAGGCACCTTATTTCAGTAGCAGATGACTTGCTGGTTGTCCTCTTAGTCTTTACAGATCGGACTTGAATATTAAAGGCATGATAGTCACTGTTTGGGATTTTCTTGTAAATAATTTCTACCATTGTCTTGTTATGAAATTATTACATGCAAAGGTCTATCTGACAGAGAAATCAAAGTAGAACCTCACACCTGCATTGGTTCAGGTCCCCACACTACCATACAAAGAACAAGTGGATAGAAAAATACTAATGTCAAACTGTATGTCAAAGCTGTATGAGATAATAAGTAATTTGAAGATAAAGGTTCCTGGAAGTATTCAAGATTTAGAAGATGCCAGAGTAAGTGCATCTGCTTCATTGTGACTGATTTTCAGCTATATCACCAAGAATTCTTAGTCAGTGGTTCCTTTCGTCTCGTGGATGCCAGCACGGTAGTTAGCATCTCCCAACACGGCTCAGACCAACAGTCACGGACTAGTGCCAGGTGTAGGTCTGGCCACCCTGAACCCTATACCAACATAATCCAGCTTTCACTAGCATGCCAAATTGAAGTAGGCGGTTGACCGTCACGCATAGCGCACGTCCAAGCCGCCTCAGTCTATAAAGTTTCACAATTTCATCGACCGACTTACCTGTCTTGCGTAGTACATTTCGTCTAACCTCAACATTACCAGTATAGTGATTCCACCATACGCGAGCAATGCTACGAAGACACTGGTCAACAAAGCACTATTACAACTGTTTTTAGTATAATTAATCAACCATGTTGTGAATGATGATTTTAAGTCTGCCCCGGATAAATAGTTGGTTTACTGCCGATGGATACGAAGCATGGAGTCCATATATAAGTGCAAATAATTTCGTACACAAACGTAATCCCTAACGAGATGACAAAAATTCTCGCGGAGAATACTTGTCTTAGCGATGATTTCGTTCTGAAGGTCGTGCAATCATATTTTTATGCTAGTTAAAGTTGGTAACGACAAACTCGTTCGCTTGTTTTTAAGCCTTACTTTTGAATTACTTATAATGGTGAAGTCCATAAATATGGTCCAGGATAATACTTCATGAATTACCAAATGGATTATAAAATATAAGGAAGCAAAGGTTAAAGATGCAATATAGGTAAGTGAGTGAATGAACGTGCTGTGATTTCATTCAAAAGTGGTTAATCGGAAATTATAAGAGCTTACAAATATAGCTATTAGTCAGATCAAATGCCCAGCATAAGGAACTTACGTACAAACACGATTGTGCGGCTATCAAATATGATCGTTACTAAGCGAACTCTCTCTGAGATCTGTTTAAAATGATTAGCACGTAGGATTATCGAGAAAGAAAACATATAAATCTCATTTTTGAATTAATGTTATCCTAAAGAGTGTTGTAAACTTTTGTCACTCATTCAGTCGTTATAAACACGAAACCTGGCATTATGACATTGTCACACCTTATGCCAGCACATGAAGGGTAAGAAGATAAAGAATTGAGAATTATAGGCTTATCTGAATAGTTGTCACTTGAAATTTCCAACCATTTGTTTTGGTTACCACATTGACTGCAACCTAGTGTTCTTCGTTTACTTACACAGCTCACACCAACAGCTAGACTTCATCAGCTTATGTTGTATTTGACTTTCTTGCAGTCTAGACTCTGTATTATATGGTAGCGTAGATTGTGACCAGGCGCATGTAAGCAATGACTCAGCAACCTCAGTCACTGATGGTTTACATCTCTGTCAACTGACTCACCTCCACCTGTTGCGCAACACAATCGACCCTTAATAGGCACTTAGGTCTTTTATCATTCTCATACTGCTGTCGCACATTATTAGTCACTAGAGTCGTTTTCATGACTGCACTTAAGATAATCTGCTGTTGTGTTTCAAGTATTAGGAACGGCCACCTGAAAACTTTTCTGAATTAAGATTGCAACTGAGTCATTTAATGTCTATGATTAGTCAGGATCACTGAATACGGAATTCCTTTAATGATTTTTAACTGTTCATTGCCGTGAGAAGAACGCGTCATACGTTATTGTACAGCACTTCCCCCGTTTTCTTAAATTCATTTTTCTTCAAAATATCAAAATGCTTCAACTCAGTACATTTAGTATTTTCGATCATCTCTGATTACGAATTGGGACAGTAAAGTATTATTAGTCATTTATTGTCGTACAAAATTCTCAAAGTAAATTTCAATCGTCTGAAGAGATATTTGATATAATCTTACTTATTTGACTTATTTTTTGGATGGAAGTTTATCTTAGACAGTCCGTAATTACAATAAACCGTGTTTACTTGGCGAGCATAGACATATAACTGGAGATGATTTTACGTTTTTGATATAGGCCACTAGGACCTTGGTAGCATACAACTACTAACTCTTAAATAAAGGGAAATAATTCTCAAGTTTTGAACTATTGTTCGGTACTTCAGTGCTTTAAAATTTCAAGCCATAAAATCTGAGGGATATATTTGGTTAATATTTTTCACTCTTTTTTATACCAGATGTGAACTTTTTGGTTCTCATTGATGTTCTCATTCCAACTCATGTTTTTGACTCAGTCACCAGTAATCGTAGACCTTAATGTATTATTAGTAGTTTTATGATAATGTTTAGTATATTTTCTGATAACCATTCATTTATTGTATGCAGGTTTCTGCAGATGTTCACTCAAAAGATATTCAAGGCTTGAATCCATTTGTTGATTACGTTATTTACATATCTGGAGTGAACTGCAGAGGAGAGGGAGTCCGCGGACCAGGGTATCATCTCCGGTCGGTTACCGCTGGGTTAAAAGGTCCTGCCAAGTCTTCTGGTTACGAAGTAAATATTTTCGAACACTTCACGTTTCCTTCATGGGCTTATGTTTTACTTTGTGGTTTCATTATCTTTTGGATTATATTTGGTTTGCTGATTCACTTTGTCGTTCGCCAAACGTCGAAAAAACAGTGTTTCAAATCTTCAACTCATTATTTTACTTCTGGTTCCAACATGAACCTTCAAAATCGGAAATCTGCCCAGAGCATTGGAATACGTGAATTTAGTTTTGGGATTTGTTGCACATCTATGGCTTTTCGGAAAAGTAAATCAGGTCTTCATTCCGATGCAGATAAAACCATGGGTGTCATTCTGTTAAACAACGGACAACAAGAAATAGGAACAGGTCATTTACTTAATCGTTTGGGTTCGTCTCAGTCTAAATTGTATGGTGATAAACCTGTATCTGATGGTAAGTCAGTAACTTTACGTACAACGTCTTGCAAAAATGAATTATCTTCTACAGGATGTACACATATCCCGTCGCAGTCGTTTGAAATCAGTAATCACAACTTGATTGGTAATGAAGATATTGAAATATATGGTAATAATGAACCTTCTGTTTGCTCCAAAAATGTGATTCACTTGCCTTCAGTTGTGACGAAATTAACACCGGTATCTAGTGGCACTACAACTGTTCCAAGCCAGCATGATTTAGTTGAGGAAAATTTGCGCAATGACATTCATTCTGTTAGTAGGCCGAAACTACCGGACTCCATAAATATACCTTTCCCTGTTCCTCCAGTTCGTCAGTCCAACTTATACAGCAGTACACAAAATTTTCAGTACAGGAGCAGTTTATTAGAATTACCGAACTCTCCAGATTTATTTATGCCATCCAATATTTATGCGGCGAACCAATTAGATGAACCTGAAAGTCCAAGAAATTTCACATCTGAAGATACTGTGCCAGCTTACGCGAGTTGTTCGGTATTCAGTGTCTGCAAAACAGAGCCGAATGATCATACTGGGACATCAGGAGTTATGCTTGTGCATAACAATAATAATTTGTGCTTGCAACCAAAGGTAAGTCATATCATTTTTTATACGAGGTGATAGTGGTGGTGGTGGTGGTTGGGTTAAACAATCCGAAACTTCGGTTTCTATCATCATAAATTTTTACGTAGTTTTGTTATCTATCTCTTTTTTCACGACTTTTCTGCTTTTATTTTATTTTTGAATTCCGGGGGGTCAAAATGCAGTAAAATAGCAATAGCAGACAGTATGAGACGTTACTACTCAAAGGTTTGTATCGGTCAGTGATTTGAAAGGAAGTTTGTTTTTAATTACTGAAGTTTCGCTTGCAATGGTGGTCTGTAAGCATACTTACGTGTATGTTAACTTATTCAAAGTCCTTCTATAGAGATAGTTTTGTATTTACATACTTAAATGACGTTTGAATTTGGAAAGAAAACGTGAGTCGCAGTCGGATTGGAACCAGTGTCCATCGGATTAGAAGTTCAGCTGAACTGCAAGAGTCAACTTTTAACCACTTTTCGAATTTATTCTCCTTTCAGTTCACGAAAGTTTTGCCTGACTATGATATGACTGATCCACTCCTTTTTACCAAGTTGGGAATTGATAGTGTACATGGGTGATATACTAGGTGATTGTATGTGTATGTGCATGTTAGACACTTTTGTCTTTCGTCTTAGTCTTCTGTGTTTCGTTGTTAAGCATCAACACAAAATGAACTTTTTTGTACTTGAATATGTTTAGATTGGTCGCATCACTCAATCACTTTGTTCCTAATTTTTAATAGCTTATTGCACTATAGGTTTTTAAAGAATGCAATAAAAGACTAAACTAAGTCGAACTAGTTATGATGCGTGAAAACTAGGGTATAAAGTGGTGATATTCAAGTGGATAAAAAAATAAAATGAAATTCACAATTAATGGAATGAAACGTTGACTTAAGTAGTTCATTTCTGTCACATGAAAATCAGTGCACTAGTAAAATGTTTTGGTTTATCTTGAGGCTTCATGCGTACATCATCGTATTCTTTTTGTACTCAAACCTTGCACGGTTAGGCTTTACAGAAAGCATGTCATCTTCTGACGTCTGCTTTCAATTTTGATGAATATTGTTTTAAATCTTAGGGAACTCCTAATAACGGATAAATTCTTTCCTTGTTGTTAAAATATGATAGTGAAGTTTGACTGAATTTTGTCACCTAGAAATCAAACATTCATTAACAATGAGGCGAATGATGTTATATTTTCTGCATGCAGAGTTTCATGCTTTAGATATGTTACATGAATCGTCAATGTTCTTCTTGAACACTGCTAACAGTATCTGATTTTGAAGACTGTATCATGTTAAAGTTGAAACTAGTGACCGGTTTGTTTGAAACTCTTGTATTAACACCGCATTAAAAGAACAAAACTGTACAAATTCATTGTCTTTGGTTTTTGTAGCCTACCATATAGTCGATTTGCAACTGTAAATATCAGTAATTTGTATATTGTTTATGCATGTACTTCAAGATTGCGTTGTTCGTTTCTCAGTGAAGTTGTGAACTGAACATAAACAGGTCACTTAGATGTGCAATAAAAATTGTTTGTATACACTGAATAAATAAAACTGGATATCTCATTGATTAGAATGATTCATTTACTCTGCTATTTTACGTACACATGCTAAGAAATTGACTCGTTATCACTATACAGTATTTTTTAAAGATATTTCTGAGACGATTATTACTTGGGACTGAATAAATAATTTGATTGTGTAAAGACAGTCAACAGTAAATTGTTTATATCATTCAGTGAAGTCGTTTTATGCCTGTAAATGCATGTTTGTTTCGTGGGTTTGTCGTCATTAGTAATAGAGCGATAAACTAGGGAAACTGCTTTTAAGCAGTTCATGAATGTAATATCAATGCAACCTGAGAAGTTACGCTCAGCAGTTGAGTATTGTGTATATAACTAGAGTACAGTGTTCGGACACTTTCGAAAAATACAGACTAGATAACTGTCATAATGTTTCAGCAATTTTGTAGTTTAAGCTAAAAGCCAACAGTTTTCATACTGTTCTGACTTTGACCTCATGAAGCAGAAATATAAGTTGTGTTCCGTATCCGTATTTATCTATTTTATCACTGGTTTTAGTAGTTTTTACTGTTAACTATTGTCTCTTTTTGTACTGCTGTGAAGTATGCTGGTCTGAGCGGACTAAACTTTAAACTGGTCTGCACCCTATTTTGGTTGTCTAGTTGATGCCATTGTTCTCGGAACTTCAGAACGTTTCAGTTCACATGTGTATTGGATTTGTGTTCTCAGAACAACGTTGGTCTTACAGTAAAGTGTAAGTACTAATGATCCAGACTTTTCAAACTTCTGAAAAGCAGCAATGCGACTCAACTACTCAGTACATGTTTATTTACTAGCCTATGAACCACACTTAGTAATATGAGGGCTTACACATGTGTAATCACAGTCTGTGTACTCGCACAAAGTTTGCTGAAGTAGGTTTGGGCAGGAGGAAGGCTAGAAGTAGTCAGACTCAAAAATAGCATTAATCAATAAAATCTATAACTCTTGGTTTAAACCGTGTAATATGGGGACCACTGGGTTTGAGTTCACCTGACAGCTGAAACCGTTGGTTGGAAACTGTAGATCACATGGCTCAGAAGCAATCTTAATAACTCTGATGCACCAATACATTATCTTCATCTTAGTTATCGTACCAAATTCTATTATTATTATTGTTATTATTATTATATCTCTTGTTCTTTTTTAAAGCTTTCTACCACTTTGACTGCTTTCTTTATTATTTTTCTGTTTCATCTTGTTGCCTATCCCTTAATGTGCTAGTGTGACTTGTTTAAACGTATACCGTTACTCAGTTATTCGAAGTCTCACAGTACTGACTGACAGACGTAACTGACTCGGTATCTGATATAGGCACACGTTGGTCTTTGTCAAACTTCACTTTAGTTGAAATCAAGAGATAGAGAGTTAGGAAATGGGCTATGTTTTTCGAAAAAATAGAAAGTGAAAAAGATACGATCGAAAGAATGAGTGTACGTAATGTTAAGGTTTTTGATATTCAGGTGAAGGTGAACCGAACTAAGTATCCTGCGTCTCCGTGCATGATTCCGATAACAAACTTCATGAGTTCGTGACATTTGTTGGTCTCACTACCACTAGCTTTCCTAATTCAGCTAAAACAGTTTAATGAGACAGGTGCTCAGACAACATTCGTAATGCACTTCTAAGTCAGGTCGATCGACCAAGGCCCACAATACCATGAGCTGCAAGAAACTCCAATTATATTGGCCTTGGTATACTCTTATTTGAGCTTTCTTCAAGTGTACAACTTTTTCGTCAAATATTTTTTCCTACTGTGCAAGTAAAATCATGATAATAAATTTAGTTCTCTGAAATGAAAATAATTATTAGCCTGTTAGTTCACTATCGTGTCTAGTGAATTGCATGGTGCCCTCATTTAACATACAGTTCACTTATTATCTATTATTTATCTATCTGTCCTTTAGGTTCCTAGTGAAACATAAGGCTTCAGTACCACATCGCCATAACACTCTATTCTCTGCAGTCTTTTAAATCTGGCTCCACGATTGCCCAGAAACTTTCATTTCTTCCTCACACCTCCTCCATGTCACCCTCAGACGCCCAACTCATCGTTTCCTATTTAGATTCCACTTAAGGACCTGGCACGTGATGTCCCCACACGGTCTAGTCAGCGTATGTCCAATCCATCTCCACTTTCTGCATATTTGTTGGACGATAGGTTCTTGATTGGTTGGTTGACAGGCCGGAGTTCCTTGTTGCTTATTCTTTCTGGTCATCTGATCTTCAGTATCGAGTGAGCGTAGGCGACAGCTGTTTATGAATGCCTGCTGTTTGTTGGAAATGCTTTTCGTAACGTGCCAAGTCTCTCAACCATCACATAGAAGCACTGACTTGACTGAATTAGTATTGAAAATCCGAATATTGTTCACGCTGTATGCTGAGTGCATTGTAGTGCAGTAGATCTCCACACTGACTTCAGGTTAATGAAGGCCTGTCTTGTTGTCTCTCGGATGCTGGCTTTGACGTCCTCATCTGTGTCGCCACCTGTAGTTGAAACGATGCTGCCTAGGTAGGTAGGTGAAAGAGACAACTTCCCTTAGATTTCTCTCGTTGATGGTGATAGGTGCTTGTTGTTGTTGTTGGATGGGTGTCTTCACCAACTCTGTCTTCTTTACGTTCGCCTGATGGAAGTTGCGTTTTCTCTGTCCTGCCTCTTCTGCCAACTTGTTGGTTTTTGTCTGTAGATCTTCGAGTTTGTGCGAGATTAGACATAAATCAACATCACGGGCGAAATCCAAATGTTCTAGGGTCTTTTCATCGGTCAAACAGCGTATGCCCCTCCTCTTGCTCCTCACAATTTGTTGCGTGATCCAGTTGACTACAATCAGGAAGATGAACAGTTCACTTATATAAATGTTTTATTTACAAAGTATCTTGTTGGGAGGTGAAATTTCATGCAGAATAATTTGGTATATTTTTTCTTAAATCTTAAAATTCAGAGGGAAATAAACAAAGGTTTAACGTGCTGAAATGCTCAAATATGTTCGTAGTCTCACGGAAAAATTGTCATTAGCACTTTATGAAAAAGTGTTAGTCCGATCTTTAAAACCACTGTCAGTTATTTTGCATTGTTTTTGTTCAGTCACTCATACAAGACCTGTAATGTCAGCAAATGCTGATGAGTCGATTCTAGCAAAACAAAAGAGAGATTTTGAAATATTATTATAATAGTGTATTTTCGTTCCACAAAAAGTGGAATTTATTCTATGACCTCACGTCTATTACCAATACTTGAAGTTTTTGTATGTTTGATTCTAACCTCAGGGAAAATACCAACAGAAGCTAAGTACTATTCATCAAACTACCATCTATGGTAATTATACTTTATGGTGATTGAAGATTGTTATAAAATTGTTATGAAAATTAATCATTCTGCGGAGTGTTACCTTTCTTCTACCAACGATGCCTTTTTTCCAGTTGTTTGTACTGTA